GTGCAGATGCTTCGACGACGTCTGAGCAAGTAATAATAAGAAGTTAATTGGTGGATGGTGACTAGCGATGAAATCCTGGATAAAACACATTTCGTCCTATTTGGGACTCGTCAGTTGGCTGAATGTACCTGCATTTCCCAGTGAGTGATGATGTTCTCACCACCGAGGCTCGAACCCAGTGGCCATATTTTCTAACGCCAAAGAGTTATTCACTAGACCACTTGGGCCATGCGAGCCACCTCTTTTACAAAGGGTCTTATTGATTATTTAATTCAACTTTAGATTTTCCCTTCGATGGATTGCATCGAAGTGCTCGTTCTCAGGTTGACATGTCGGCTTCTTGTGGCTCTTGTGGCCCAGGTGGTCTAGTGGATAACGCTTTGGCGTTTGAAACTATGGACAGTAGGTTTGAGCCTCGATGAGAAATGCAGTCACATCCAGATGACGAGTGCCAAACAGGGCGAAATGTGCGTTATCCTGGATTCCACTGCTAGTCACAATCCACCAATTATTATCTTAATAAGTATCTTGACATTAACAATAAATTGTTCCAGAGCTGTCATCATCAGATAATACTGTATAGCTGAGGGCTTTTTATCCATTATATTTATTCTGTGATGGAATTATGCCCTAAAACAGTACCCAGGTTCTATTCCTATATCGATGCTGAATACATTAGATTTTTAAGATTTAGTCTCCTAGGATTAGACTTGCTCTTACGAGTTTGACCATGGATTGATATCAGTTAGAGAACTTTATTTATTTTTTCTATTTTTGATTTACAGCTTGATTCCACACTGTATTTTTGGTACAAGTATGGAATTTTCAGCATGGATATCGGTAGCCCAAATTTTGCAGGCCAACCATAGATATCAGGTGTGCGCCGGCGTGGGCTCGAACCCCGGACCATGTGCATGGCCGGCGAGAGTCCTAACCACTGTGCCACCGACGCGCACCATCGATAACCAGCTGGGAGTACAAGACAGCTATTTCATCCTAGTCTTGGAATCATGGGCAGTACCCACCCACACTACAGGGTTCGAACCCATGACATCCCGGTTACAAGGCAAGTTCGTATACCGTTTAGCCACTGAAACCTGATTCAGTGGCCACTGCATGAATTCTAACTTCTATCAATTGGTGATAAACTCGTAATACAAATGTAATCCTTACAAACCAACTATTGAAAATTAATCTCATGCTTGCTAGTGATGACTAGCTACAGGCCGGAGCTCCATGGAGTCCTAGTGAGAAGTCGTGACCAATGAGGTCCAAACAGGTCAAGTCTGAGGATGAAGTTCCCACCGATGACACTGGTTGATGGTCGCGATAAAAATCACGAATAGGTAGAAGTTAGGATTCATGGGCTGGCCATTGAGGAATCGGGTCTCAATGACTGAATGGTATACGAGCTTGCCTTGTAACCGGGAGTTCCTGAGTTCGAAACCGCCTGTGGTGAGTGCGTACTGCCAATGATTCCCGAACTAGGATGAAACAGCTGTCCAGTACTCCTTAGCTGGTTTTCAATGGTTCTCTAACTGACATCAATCCGAGGTCAAACTCGTAAAATACATAAAAACTTTAAATGACCTTAAGAAGCAGTCAGTTAACTCACAAATTTAAAGAGTTAGCAGCCAATGAAAGAGAATCCAGACTTCAGAAAAAGAGGAATCAAGAAATGTAATCAGTGTGTTATACCTGCGAGATTTATTTTTTTTAAAGTATTACATATAGCAATAACTCAGAGAGAGAGAGAGAGAGTTATAGTAGCTAGTATGAGTGCTCTATTAGGTTATGCTATTCCAGAAGGGTCGTTTGGATAAAGCAGTTAGACCAGAAGCAATTGTTATCACACTATAACTTATTTAGAAAAAGTCATCTTCAAAAGCTGTTTACCCTGATTTCTTTTGTGACAGTCCATAGCCGGTAGGCATGTCTTTATAAAGATGCAACTCCGGAGAAGACCCCAATCAGCTGTCTTCTAAGCTGTGAAGTCAAGCGGATTTAGGTGGACAAGACAGACTAGCTTCCTCATTTAAAAAAATACGAATTCGATATTATCAAATTATTTCAAGATTAGTGGATCTAACTCTCTCTCTCTCTCTGTTTAAATATCACTTTTATTTTTAGCTATTGTACAACAACACTATCCCAGTAGTGTGAAAATTAAGAAGGGATAATAATGCGATTCGGAATGCGCAAAGTGGATCTAATGACCTTGACAGGCAAATTATTGATTGGAAATTTTGAAGTGTTAACAACCAATGAGAATTTAGTTTTGAGAAGGTGCGGAAAATTCAAAAGGCCCAATCTAATGAATACGCGACAACTACGAAATATAGTTAACTTGAAGTTACAGACTAATGTCAGGCAAAACGATCAGACAGAATTACAGGGATATAAGAGAGAGACTTTATGCAGTGAATTGGCGAAAATGCACCAGTGACCTTGAAAAGCTCCAGGCCAAGAACAGTTTAGAGTTAGGTTAACCTAGTGAAGGTGACATTAGGGTTAGTCTAAAGATATTTTCAAGTTGGATTATTGTCAGGGTTAGAAGACCTAGATAATTACATGCATAGAATGTGGTTGAATAACTCTGTCGATATTCCAATTTCAAAACTGTGACGTATTTTTGTCACACGTCAGGGAAAGGTATCCCGTGTAACAGTTTTATGCCTTTTAATTCATTATTATTTTCATGAATACATGTATATTATACGCAAAAATCGCTTTTGTCATGTGATTGGTGCGTTCAAGGTAAATTGTCCGTTGGTGCTTACCGGTGCTTAATAGTTTAACTTTACCAGTAAACGCTATATCTGTCAAGTTTTAGGTTAGATTAACATAATTAGGAAGTATATTATGGTTGGTTTGAAATAGATTAGGGTTAAGTTTAGGATAAGAAAACCAAATCTACTTTTCCGCACTATAAGCGTTCCAATGTCATTAAGGCTTTGGCGTATCTTTGGTGTTGAAAGTTTTACTTCACCAGAGAGTTGCCTTTTGATTTTTTACAAGTGTTAGACATTGGCTAGTGGTTGCACTATATCGTGAATCGGCAGGAGTTGGAATTAATGAGCTGGAACAGGCCCCAGTGAGTGGATTAATGATCTACGAGCTAGCTTGCCTTGTAACCAGAAAGTCCTGGGTTGGAACTTCAAGGTGTGAGTATGTACTGCTGAAAAGTCCCTAACTAGGAAAAAGGAAACAGCTGTCCAGTACTTCCTGGTTGTTTTCCGATAGTTCTCAAACCGATGTCAGCTCATGATGAAACCCTGTAGCCAATCAAATAAAATCCTTACAAACCAATTATTATTATATTATTGTTTCCTTGAGTTCCTAGTGGAACATACCGCTTCAACTGCACGTCTCCACTTGCCACTTCTGTCTTCCTACTGCTGTACTTTTCACCTGCATCCATGTTACTTAGTCCATACTGTTTCAACTCCTCTCTCTTCACACGATCTCCTCCATGTCACCCTTGCACTGACGTCCCACTTGCCGCTTCCCTTTCGGCCGGGTTCCACTCGAGCAATGGCCTGACGCGCGCACGATGTCACCCAGCGGTCTCCTCAGCGAGTGTCCAATCCATCTCCACTTTCTCATGCATATTTCTTGGTTGGCGATTGATTGGTTCTTGTTTTGTTTGTTCCCATAGTTTCTTGTTGGTGATTCTTTCGGGCCCGGCCATCTGATCTTCAGTATAGAGCCAGCGAAGACAGTTGTCGGTTGATGAAGGTATGCAACAGGCTGTTGGAAATGTTCTTTGTGAACCACTCGCCAAGTTTCTGATCCGTATGGAAGAGCTGACTGACTTGACGTGTTTGTATTGAAAGTCCGACCGAATTTTGTTGTTGATGCTGGCTGAGTGACGAAGATTGGTTTCCAGATTGGTTTCAGGTTGATGAATGTGTTTCTCGCTCGCCTTCCCGATTCTCGCTCGATTTGACACCGTCGTCCGTTCTGAATTCCTGTAGTTGAGACATTGCTCCCTAGATAAGTGAGTGAATGAAGTAGCCTCTTTCAAATCCCTCCTGTTGATGGTGATTGGCGCTGGATGTTGCTGTTGTTTTTAGTGGTGGTTGGTTGGTTATTTTCATAACCTCCGTTTTGTCTATGTTCACCTGGAGTCCTGTTTTCGCCGGCTGCTTCTTCGACCTGTTTGTCGGTTTTCGCTCGTAAGTTTTCGATTTTGTGTGACATCAAACATAAATCATCCGCGAAATGCAGGTCTTCTAGGTTTTTTCACGTCGGTTCAGGATATCCCTGTCTTCTCGTTTCCCACCCGCTGTCTGACACATAATCCAGTCAGTAGGAATATCATCGGTGATAATGAGCACCCTTGTCTGACTCCTGTTTTCACTACAAATGGCTTTCTGAGGTTTCCGTTGTGGATCACTTAATATGTGCCGTTGTCATACAGCTGTTGAATAAGGTTGATGAATTTTTGGGGTACGCCATAGTACTCGAGTAGTTTCCAAATTACTTCGCGGTCAGCGCTGTCGAAGGGCTTCTCAAAGTCTACAAAGTTGAGGTAGAGGTTTGACTGCCATTCCATGCTTTGTTCTGTGATGATGATGCGTAAAGCTGCAATTTGGTCAGTACATGGTTTGCCTTTCCTGAATTCAGCTTGTTCTGGTCGGAGTTCTGTCTTCAGTGCGTCCTTAATTCTCTCCAGGATGATGCGACTCAGGATTTTACTTGGCGTCGATAGGAGCATGATTCCTCGCCAGTTCTTGCAGAGTCCTAAGTCTCCTTTCTTTGGTAGTTTCACGAGGTAACCTCCCCTCCAGTCAGTAGGCCCCCCTTCCCTCCTTCCAGACTTTTTGCAATAATGGAGTCAGCATATCTGTTGTCGTCTCTGGGTTCGCTTTCAGTGCTTCAGGGGGTATTCCATCTAGTTCAGACAAAAATCAATACTTGAATATTATCAAACTGTTTCAAAATGTGTGTATATAGTCAACTCATATCTATTCAATTGTCATTTTCATTTGTTTTAGCTATTGTTCAACATGGAATTTACTTTTATGATAATCCTGGTTTATGTTATACCCCGTTTACATTGAAATGGGATGAAATGGTTGAAAGTTCAGAATTACAAACAATCGATCTGGTGGCAATACATTCAAATGCAAATATCCATCTGTGGTATGAATATTGTCGATGTAAATATTTAAATTTATGTATTAATAATAAGGGAAATAATCAAACAACTACTGATTCACCATTCTCATCCTCGCCACCATCATCATCATCATCGTCATCGTTATCGCCACCTTCATCATTCCTGTTTAATGCATCTCAGACACAATTTGAAGAAACTTTGAATGAATTATCAAAGCCAACTGATGACAGTGCTAAACACCACCACCAGCAGCAGCAGCAGCGGAAGAGACGTATAAAGAAAAGAGATATTAACATGTCGACTGAACAGCACGAAGGTGAGAGTTCAATGTTCAATACAATTGTTGTCACTTTTATTATTCCTTTGTAGTCCTTTTTAATTGCTTACAGAATCAGTCATAAGCTTTTGTTTGCTTCTCAGATGATCTCGCCTATGTTACCACTGGACGCCCAACTAGTCGCTTTTTGTTCGATTTCCACTTGAGCGATTGTCTAGCTAGCGTGTCCAATCCATCTTTTTTTTTTAAGATAAGATAAGATAAGCTTTATTCCAAATCAGTACTTGTGATACAGAATGGAATTCTCAGCATTTCACTACAGACAGTATTGGCATCCAGTTAGTACATTAACAATAAATATAGTTCTACATAGATTAAGGTTATCTCAGTCAGTTTTGACAACAACATATTAGCATGTCGGTAGTAAAGCCAAAATTTAAACAGAGTGTTTGAAGGTGTTAGAAAAGTAGATACTACTAGCATATTTACTGGCGTAAGCAATAGCAAAATGGTCGAGATATACAGAGTGTGAAAGAACGAATAAGAATGTTTTAAGTAGAGTTTGTAAGGAAGATAGAAACGTAACAGCATATAACAAAAATAAATACAGAATGAAAAAAGGTAGAGAGAAAACGTTGTACCTATAAATGATGTGAGTTGGAAAGACGAAATCCAGTTGTTCCACTGACTATTTATTAAGTTAAAGGTTTCACGCCTAATGCTTTCTTCATCGCACAGAATTCGAGCTAGGTAGGGTATGGATGAGTTTTTGTACTTGCTAGTGCGGGCATATAGTTTCCCATATAGGCTTCTGGTTTTCCCTGAAGAGATACATGGGGAGAGTTGTGAATGTAGAGGGTGTTGTGAGTCAGATAAAATGGTTTTTGCCCATTTTTCACATGAGTCCATGTGCCTGTCAACCAGAATATTAACGAGCTGGCTAAGTTGCAAACTGCTTACCCTGCTGACAACCTTCAACATCCTACGTAATAAGGTATAGTCTTACTTCAATAGCCCAGGAAAGACTAAGGGGGAACAATAGAGAATAATAGGCAGAATACGGAAGTTAACAAATTGTAGGAGTAAGGGTTGGTTTACACCAGAAAGTCTTAACTTCTTGATGTAGAAGGTAAGACGGAATATTTTCTTGGAAATCGTCAAGATATGAGACGACCAGGAAAGATCAGAAGATAGAGTGACGCCTAGGTATTTAACTTCCGACTTGGTTTCAATTTCAGCGCCATCTATGTTGCACATCTCGTGAGTGCTAACCAGTTTGTTTAGGTCAGTCAGATTTATGCCTAAATGTGAAATTAACTGTTTGGCATTTGGAGGGGTTTAAGGTGAGACCATTTTCCTTGGACCATTGGCTGACTTCTGATAAAAAGCGATTTAGTTTAGAGCAGTCACTTTAACATTTGACAGACAAAGATACAGTCAGGTCGTCAGCATATTTAACTAAGTTAATGTCATTTGAAGATGGTAGGTCATGTAGGAAGAAAGAAAAGAGAAGTGGGGAGAGTACAGCCCCTTGGGGGACACCAGATTCAGTGAGCACAGCAGAGGAGGATTCGCCTTTGTATACGGTGTACTGCGTTCTGTTTGAAAAGTAGGAATGCAACCAGTTAGTGACCTAGGACTCGGTTTGTGTCATGGAGAGCTTATTTAGCAAGAGACATTTAGGTACAGAGTCGAAAGCAGAAGTGAAGTCAAGAAACGTGCAGCGGACATATTTGGCACCTTTGTCTAATGATGAGACGATACTGTTGTGGAAGACGAATGCAGCGTCCAAAGTGCTCCTACCCTGTCTATAGGCAAATTGTTTGGGGTCTTCAAGCTATTCAGAGAGGGTTCAAGTTTAAGAAATACTAGTTTTTCCATAAGCTTTAGAAACGAGGAAGTGATGGCAATGGGTCTGAACTTTACGTTCTTGCTATTGCCGGGTTTAGGGACCTTCAGTATTGAACAAAGGCAATTCCATATTATTTTGTTTATTAAATGTACCACACAGTGAGTGAAACAGTATTATTATTTACTCGATGACGAAGTTTCGAACACAATCTAATATTGTTCATAATCATAACATCAATTATAATCACACGACTTTGAAACTTGAGTTTCATAGTTTTCTTTGTTCTCTCCTATTTGTCGTCGTTGGGGAAGTAGAATTTTCCAGATATCCGGGTTGGGGGAAAGGTGTTGAATCATTTCTATTACGCATATTCTCTCTCAGTTGATTCGATAAACAAAGCTTATGTTATCAATCTCTCCCTTCAACCTATTAGTCATATTAGATTTCGAAACTGTCATCATATCCCATCACCCTATTTTATGGTTGGATGTGTGTAATTGCATGTAGTGAATGCTATAGCTGAATTATTCTTGTCTTATTTAGGTCAACTGATCTAGATTTCGCTAGGTTTTCATGTTCCGTTAACCGGTTAAAGGATCCGGTGGAGCCTTTAAAACAAAACAATTTAGTTTATCTAATACCCTGTCTGAGATGATTGTCAAGTCAAATACATAGTTCAAAGTAGTAGAACAGCTGCAGTCAGTCAGACTAGTAGAGCTTAAAAACCTAGTAGAAAAATCTAGATTAGTTGACCTGAATAAGACAAGAAATTTAGAGAATAGTTCAGTTATAGCATGCAATTACACACACCCAACCATACAATAGAATGGTTGAGATAAGATGATAGTTTTAAAATCTAATATGACTAATAGGTTGAAGGGAGAGATTGATAACATAAGCTTTGTTTATCGAATCAACTGAGAGAGAATACGCGTAATAGAAATGATTCAACACCTTTCCCTCAACCCGGATATCTGGAAAATTCTACTTCCCCAACGACGACAAATAGGAGAGAACAAAGAAAACTATGAAACTCAAGTTTCAAAGTCGTGTGATTATAATTGATCACATGATTATGAACAATACTAGATTGTGTTCGAAACTTCGTCATCGAGTAAATAATAATACTGTTTCACTCACTGTGTGATACATCGAATAAACAAACTAATATGGGATAACTTACTACCACAGTGCCCAAGTTTTACACATATAACAAAGGGAGTTGTTGATGAAATTTTTCAGCCTATTGAAAATGCTTTTTCATTAAGCGTCATGTTTCTGATCCATATAGAAGAAACCGGCTAACATTTGTGTTGAAATTTCGAATTCCACTATTTATCCAAATTACAGCAGTTTTCCATATTGATTTCAGAGTGACGAAGATTTATGTTGCCTTTTCGACCAGGGTTTTGATATCTCCGTCCGAAGAAAGTGATTCCTTCCAAAATTCTTCCATTGATGGTGATTAGTGTTTGTTGTTATTATTGTTGTTGTGGTTGTTGCTAATGGCAACGATTAGATGGCCTCGTCTCCTCCGTTTTCTCTACGTTCACTGTCTGCCTCTATTCTGATAACTTGCTGGTTTTCACCTGTAAATCTCTGAATTTATGCAACATCAGGCATAAATCATCTGTAAAGCGCAGATCTTTTGGAATCTTCTGATCGATCTTCTTGATTATCACAGTCTGACTAATAATCCAGTCCACTAATAATTTGGAATATCATCAGTGACACTAGGCAGCTTTATCTTATTCCTGTCTTCACTTCAAAGACTTTGCTGAATTTCACGTTATTATATAACTGTTGAATTAGGTTGATAAAGATTTGGAGCACTCCGTAATGTTGAAGTAGTTGCCGAATTCGGTTGCCGTCGATGTGAGGACGGGTGTAAGGCAAGGCTGCACACTATCGCCGATGATTTTCCTGACTGTGGTAGACTGTATAATGCGACAGACAACGGGCAATGAGGAAAAGGGCATAAAATGGACTCATACAAAAAACTTGGAGGATCTGAACTTTGTCGATGATGAATGTCTGATTTCTCACAAATTGGAAGATATGCAATTGAAAAGCAACAAGCTGGCAGAAGAAGCATCCAGAGAAGATAGGCCTTCAGGTGAACATAGAGAAAGGAGAGGTGATGAAGATTCCTGGGCAACACCAACAGCCACAGGAACACCAACAACAGACAACAATCAGCATAAATGGGGGGAACCTAAAAGAAACAACCTCCCTCACCTACCTATCTACCTACCTTGGAAACATCGTTTCAACTACAGGCGAACGGAACTGATGAGGATATCAAATTGAGGATCGGGAAAGCAAGACAAGCTTTCATTACTCTCAAGTCTGTGTGTAGGTCAACAGCACTCATCACTCAGCATCAAAATAAGATCCTGATTTTCAACTCCAATGTTAAGTCAGTCAATGCTACTATAGGGATCTGAGAACTTGAGCGTCATAAAGAGAACCTCAAACAAACTACACACCTTCATCAACAGTTGTCTTCGCTCACTACTGCTCAAGATCAGATGGCTGGCCAGAAAGTATCAGCAATAGGGATCTCTGGTAATGAGCGAACCAACCAAGCAGGAACCGATTGTGCAACAATTATGCAGGAAGAAATGGAGGTGTATTGGCTGGCCATACTGTCAAGAAACCATCAAGTGAGTGACATCACTAGACAAGCCATTGCTCGAATGGAAGCCGAAAGGGAAGCGACGAGTTGGTCGTCAGTGCAAGGGTGACATGGTGGAGGTGATGTGAAGAGGAGATGAAAACATGTGGGCAGACTTAGAGCCAGGTGAAAACTTTAGGAGAGAACCGAACGCAATGGAGACGCGCGGCTAAAGCCCTATGTTCCTCTAGAAATTATAAGAATTTATAATAATCATAATAGTACTCACCATATGATGCTCATCAATCGCTCAACACTAATATTTATGTATAGCTTCACATTAAAATTTTACCAGTCATGTAGTGAAATGTTAGCGTCAATAGGAAAAATCAATTTTTACAGGTAAAGGAGGGTTAGAAATAACTGATTACGGAAATCAAGATCAGTCATATATGCCTGCACTAAGTTCACTTTTAACAGTTTGAAAAATAATTTGGGCATTGGGTATATGATATTCAGTATGTTTCACTGAGAGAGACAGAGAAGGCCGTTTTCAGAGAATTTCCGCCT